TAAAAAATTGAGATCATTGCACATTAAGTTTTTTTTTTTTAATTTCCAACACTTAACAGGTTGCTTGGAAGAACTTAAAAAAAATATTCGTTCATCTTTTAATTTAATAAAAATGATTAACATTAAACTTTAGTTATTTTTAACTTATAAATTTGTTTTATTTTTATAATTACAAAAGTAAAAATAATTACTACTACTAACAAAACATGATATTTGTTGCTAAAAAATAACCAAAGACACGTAACAATTTCAATCCCTTAATTTTAAACTGGTTAAACTCGTTTTCAATTTCATATTAAGTTAAAATTTCAATTTAATTCTTCTATAAAAAATTTTTTTTAATCTATTTATTTAATTTTCTTTAATCTCTAAAATTTAAAATGACCTTTTCTAATCCCTGCTACCACGCCACCAAGTATTGACAAATGACAGAAAATGCCGGCCAGCCGCCAGGACAACGGATGGCAAACAATGAAATGGTTGATTGGTATGTGAGGCGCATGAATCAAAATTAAATGAATGAAATTAAACATGTTCCCGTGGCTTTATCTTTCTTCTTACAAAGTGAAGAGTAATGATGAAGTGTTGGAATTGATAAGGACATTGATTTTATGAATTTTAAATTGTTCATGTTAGATTATTTTGTAAAGGATTAAATAGATACCACTCTCTATTATCATGCAAAATTTTTGTTAGTGCTTTTACCCTTCCCCTTCTTCAAGACTTCAACTCACGAGATTTAATTCTTGCCAGCACATCAGAGACGGAATTGATAAGGACATTGACTTGATGAATTTTAAATTGTTCATGTTAGATTATTTTGCAAAGGATTAAATAGATACCACTCTCTATTACCATGCGAGATTTTTGTTAGTGCTTTTGGCCTTCCCCTTCGTCAAGATTTCAACTCATGAGATTTAATTCTTGCCAGCACAATAGAGACGGATTTGGTAAGGACATTGATTTGATGAAATTTTAAATTGTTCACGTTAGTTTATTTTGTAAAGGACTAAATAGATACTACTCTCTATTATCATGCAAAATTTTTGTTAGTGCTTTGTACTCATGACTTAAGGGACGTTGTCAAAAAGAGTTGTTTTGTTGGCCCACTTGTCGTGGAAAAAGAGAATTGATCAAGAGATGAGTGTTCGCAAAAGGGGGTTGAATCGATGAATGGTAGAAGGGTTGTCATTGTTGCTACTGC